CAATACTTCCCCTAACTTCACTCCCTCTGCTGTTCTATGTTCATTCGCACCCGCTACATTGGAAGAAGTTTCTGCTCTGCTCCAGTCCTCCCGCCCCACCACCTGCTCCCTAGATACAATTCCCTCGCATCTCATCCGTACTCTGTCTTCTCTTTCTCCACCTCTCACTAAAATCCTCAATCTCTCTCTCTTCTCTGGTATATTTCCATTGCCCTTCAAACATGCAACTGTAACCCCAATTCTAAAGAAGCCCAATCTTGACCCTAACTCCCCATCCAACTATTGTCCTATCTCGCTACTGCCTTTTGCATCCAAGATCCTTGAAAAAATTGTGTATGCGACATTGACAGACTTCCTCGAGTACAACTCTCTGCTAGACCCGTTTCAGTCTGGTTTCCGCGCTAAGCACTCTGTGGAAACGGCACTGACCAAAGTATCCAATGATCTACTCGCTGCAAAATCTCGTGGTCACTACTCTATCCTAATTCTCCTTGACCTGTCTGCGGCTTTTGACACTGTTGATCATAAACAGCTTCTTCTCATCCTCCGCAATATCGGTCTACAAGATACTGCTCTCTCCTGGTGCTCCTCCTACCTCTCCCAGCACTCTTTCAGTGTTTCTTTCTCTGGCTCTGCTTCTTCTCCCCAACTCCTCTCTGTTGGTGTCCCCCAAGGTTCAGTCCTTGGTCCCCTACTGTTCTCCATCTATACTGCCTCCCTTGGTAAACTCATTAGCTCCTTTGGCTTCCAATATAATTTCTATGCAGATGACACGCAAATCTACCTGTCCTCTCCTGATCTCTCCCCGTCCCTCTTGACTAGTGTCTCTGACTGCCTCTCTGCTGTTTCTAACTGGATGGCTGCCCACTTCCTTAAACTAAACTTGACCAAAACTGAAATTCTGGTCTTTCCTCCCTCAAGTGTTGTTACTCCTGTCTCTGTTTCCCTCCAAGTCAACGGTGCTACCATCGGCTCCACCATGCAGGCTCGCTGCCTAGGTGTTCTCTTTGACTCCGACCTCTCCTTCAAGCCTCATATTCAATCTATTGCCAAATCCTGTCATTTGCATCTAAAAAACATTGCGCGCATCCGCCCTTACTTAACGCCAGATGCGACTAAGGTGTTGGTCCATTCCACTGTCCTTTCTCGCCTTGACTACTGTAATCTGCTTCTCAGTGGTCTTATGTGCTCCCAACTAGCGCCGTTACAGTCCATAATGAATGCAGCGGCAAGGCTCATCTTCCTGTCCACCCGCACCTCCCATGCCTCACCCTTCTGTCAATCCCTACACTGGCTTCCTATAAAATATAGAGCTCAATTTAAAATTCTGGTTCTTGCTTTCAAATCACTACATAATGCTGCTCCCACCTATCTATCCTCCCTTATACACAAGTATGTCCCGTCTAGGCCCTTACGATCTGCTGAAGACTTACGTCTATCTTCAGTCCGTACTCCCACCTCTGATGCTCGCCTTCAAGATTTCTCGAGGGCTGCACAGTTCCTGTGGAACTCGCTTCCCTCCTCTGTTAGATGCTCACCCAGTCTCCACTCCTTCAAAAAATTGTTAAAAACCCACTTCTTCATAAAAGCGTATCACTTAAACTGTTAATAGCTCCTGACTGATTCCTCTTCTGCAACTGTCACTAGTCTAATACTATCCTTACCTTTTTGTGTCATTTTACCCCACTCCCTCTAGCATGTAAGCTCATTGAGCAGGGCCCTCAACCCCTCTGTTCCTGTGTGTCCAACTTGTCTGGTTACAACTACATGTCTGTTCGTCCACCCATTGTAAAGCGCTGCGGAATTTGACGGCACTCTATAAATATCATAATAATAATAATACGAGCATAGAATATCCTTTTTTTAGGAGGGTGGTGGAAACCTTAGGTGAATTCCCACACTTTTATCCCAAGACCCGACCCCTTGTGTTACACTTGTGTAACACACACCTCCAGCCCACCCACTGTCTGCTTTCATTTGCCCTGCTTGGGGAAACTTGGTTACAATTTATTGCCAGCATGCTGGTGACTGAACCTATACTTTCTAACCAACTAGCAGCAATAGCTAGGGAGGATCCATAGCAACCAAAACTCATACACTCTGTTTGCTATGCTTGGAGAGCAGAACAACTGCCTGTACTGAGTCTCTCCTGCTCTCCCTGTAAGGCAATTCTTCAACACAGGAGTCTATGAAGAAGAGTTGACATGTGAGAGAAACACCTCTTATTAAATAGGTTTTTCACCAAATCTACACATTTTCTAGTGTTATGGGAAAATGCAAATATTGTATTTCTCAAACTGTGTACTTTGTCTTTAAGAGATATTGCAAACTGACAAGGTGTTAGAAATGGAACATATTGTTTTTCATAACTGTTTATTTAAGCAATAACCTCAGTGCATAATATGTTTACGCCATTTTGTCCCAGACGAACTACAATAACAATAATGCGTAAACAAGCTTCAAGGCTATGCTACGACTCTTTCAGTACATAATATACTGCGGTAACTCTAAATAGACAAAGATGTTCAGACTGTAAGATGCCATCTTGTCCTAAGTCAGGGATTTTTCCATGACGTGTGCACCCTTACGTTTTACTTATGGCCTTGTATTTTTGCCAAGTTAAGGGAGGTCCCTAGAATGAACAAAAATAAAAGAAGTCTTACTTTTTTCATATATGAACTATGGTAACCCTAAAATGAAGACATCTAAGGTATAAATATGTGTACCTTTTAAATGTTAACACACAGAGGAGAGATTTGGAGACAGAGACACTGTCGCTTAATATTATAATGACTGAGAGATGTTAACATGTTCAAGAGGGTATGTTATTCTATTTAAAATTATATTTGCAAGCATATAGGTTAATCTTGTAAACTCTGCTATAAATTATTGTAATGGATTTTATACGTCTATATTTATATTTTTATTTAATAAAATATCTAAAGACAAAACTTTATTGTTTCCAAGGCAATCCTTATTTTATATTGTATTCTCACTTATTTATATGTTTTAAATAGAGGATATCTTGCTAACTATATAATATTATGGCTAAAGATATCTGTATGGTAAGCCCTGCTAAGTTCTATGCATTAAGACGTTGAAGGGGTAAATAGGGGAACCAACTGCGGTTAAACTAGCAATCCACAATGTCCACAATCCACAATTTTAGTGGTTTCTAAGTATATATATATATAGAGAGAGAGAGAGAAAGAGAGAGAGAGAGAGAGAGAGAGAGAGATTAAAGATATGTCTTTTATACATATATTAAAGGGACACTATAGTCACCTGAACAACTTTAGCTTAATGAAGCAGTTTTGGTGTATAGAACATGCCCAGCCTCACTGCTCAATCCTCCATTTAGGAGTTAAATCCCTTTGTTTATAAACCCTAGTCACACCTCCCTGCATGTGACTTGCACAGCCTTCCATAAACACTTCCTGTAAAGAGAGCCCTATTTAGGCTTTCTTTATTGCAAGTGCTGTTTATTTAAGATTTTCTTATCCCCTGCTATGTTAATAGCTTGCTAGACCCTGCAAGAGCCTCCTGTATGTGATTAAAGTTCAATTTAGAGATTGAGATACAATTATTTAAGGTAAATTACATCTGTTTGAAAGTGAAACCAGTTTTTTTTTTCATGCAGGCTCTGTCAATCATAGCCAGGGGAGGTGTGGCTAGGGCTGCATAAACAGAAAAAAGTGATTTAACTCCTAAATAACAGTGAATTGAGCAGTGAAATTGCAAGGGAATGATCTATACACTAAAACTGCTTTATTTAGTAAAGTATAGTGTTCCTTTATTATACATATATATATGATGTTTATGTGCACAATATGCTTAGAAATTACACTATACATAACATATGTGTCTTGTTGCTAGGTGCACATGATAACAAATCTGTAGTGAAGAGAGCACTCATAGGACTTCAAAATTACCACGACAACTTCATTTTTTTTCAGTTGTTTCAGTTAAGCACGTCTGCTTAAAACGAATCAGTTATTTTGTGTTTTTTGAAGCCCTATGAGTGCTTTCCTTCACGCTGAAAAGATTTATTAATTGGAAGTTAATTTTTCCAACTGTATATTTGCACACTATTCTGGTGTGACACATAAAAGGGCTGGTATAGAATTTTTTTCCATGGCTGCTTTTATTTTCCGGTCCGTCCCTGCTCACCTGATCCAGAGATGTGCCCATGTGTTTAAGGAGCACACAGCCATTCTTTCCTTGTGAGTTGATCCATATGGAAGTATATTGGGAGGGCATGTATTTTAAATGATATTGCACTATATATCTGTTTATTTTTCAAGTTAACAGAATATTCTGATGAGTGTGTGAGTCTATGCTTTTTTATATTACATGCGCACATTTATAAAAAAAACTAGTTTGATATTTGCTTGTTGATGCAAAGCACAGTTGGTTGCTGCATGTTATTGCAAAACCATCTTTTTTCTACAACACATACAATTTATGCACTTAATTTGCACTATTTGTAAATTAGCACGTCAAACACAAGAGCACATAGAACTTTATAAGTAAGTGAGCCATACGTCGGCACATATTTTTTTCACCTTAGTAATTAAACAGTGCAATTAATGGACATATTTGCGGAAGATTTGTTGATGAGAGGGATAGGCAGTTTGGAGCTGCAGAGGGGTAACATAGAAAGGGGATGGGGTACAGCAGGGTGTGAAGTTGTGTTTGAAGGGGTGTGGAGTTGTGTGAGAAAAGAGGGCAGAATAATGAATTTGAATGAGGGTAGGGATAACAAAATGGCTGACAAACAAATTGCTGTGAGGAAAAAGGTTTACTGAATAGGTGACAGACTTTGGCACTGTGAATTAAAATTGGAATAGATGGCAAAATGTAGGATAAAATGGTCTTGCTGTGACTAGAGCTTAGTTGATATTTTTTTCCCATAAACTATTTTAGCCTAAATCTTGCAATTCAGAATATAATTAGCTACAATTTGGAATTTAGTAAATAAATTCCTCAAAGTTATTGGCCAAAGTGTTTGCAATTCAAAGCGAATTTCACATTTTAGACTACAATAGCCAAACTGTAAAAAGTCTCCAAGTCAGCTATTTTGCCCCAAGATTTGTAATTCACTATAATTTCCCAATAATTCACATTTTATAGACCTATTCACTAAACTGAGAATTCAACGTGAATTCAAATAGAATTTCAATTTTAAAGCCAAACTAGCTGAACTGATAACAGAATTGAATTGGAGAAGTTACCTAATTTTGCTATTGTGAATTAAAATTTTAAATTCACTTTTAACTCCTAGAAATACTCACTTTAGTTAATTACCCTTCTAGTGAATAAACCTGATACTGTGTAAGTCTGGACATTTGCTGTTGAGGTGAAATTGTTCTGTAACACACGGTAGAGCGTAGGATGGGGTGGCGTAGGGCAGCAAAAATCATTGCCCTTGCCCAGCTCATACAAATATTACATGTAGTTCAGTTAATTGCAAAATGGTAAGATAAGAATGCAAGGCATAAACGACACAGGAATAACAGATTGTTTCCCGTATGGAACACGTTAATTAAATAAAATCCATGTCAGGATAAAGTTGAAGGACGTTTCCAACAAAAAAAAAAAGACAAAGTTTTCCTATTACTTTGAAACTGTCTGCGACCAGCATGTAAATGGCATTTAATAAATGAGCTATTAGCAGTTAATTCATTAGATGTTGGCTGTTACTAGAATGCAAACTAATATTTATAGCAATTTAATTAGCTTGCCCTACCCAACAATAAATGGCTCTAGTCACCATATAATTGGAATTGATGAAGTTGGTTAGGTCAATTAGGTGGTGACAATTTTGCTTGGTTGCTGAATAACACCCTCTTTTTCAGTTTACCTTGCGCTGCTTGAGAAATTTAAATCAAGCAAATACATAAGATCTGCTGTTTGCTTAACCTATTCAGTACCAGAATTCTGTCTTACGCTAGATTGTAAGCTCCTACGGTTGCACAGTCAGCTTTAGCAATAGTTAAAGTAGTAATAGTTAGTACCGTAACTATCATAATAATAATTGTAGGGATTCTGATGCTATGATTCTGTCTTTCCCCAGTTTTCTTTGAAACAGTTTTCGAGTGGTTTTACAATTTATGTGGCTCAGCCTGACACTAACAGCCTGGACTCTCTAAACAACATTAGTCTACCAGTTATTTTCATATTGGTCTGTCAAATACATTTTTCATATCGGTAACCTTGAAGGAGGCATGTTGTCATCCAATTTAAACAATTAAATAATTGAATTATGACATTGCAGTCATCAAATACTTGCAATACAAAATGCAAATGGTTGGCCATCTGTAAATCCATCCTACAAACCTTAGTAATATGTCTGTATTTACATAAACAAATAGCAATTATTAGGATAATTTTGCATTGCTACGTTAGCGTTTAAAAGGAATCATAATGGATATATTCACGGCTAGAAACACATATCTATTAACACCTTGAGTATAAATAAATCAATACGCCTTATAAATTTGAATGATCTATAAATATATAATAATAGATCCTATATGCCACAGGGAGTTAATAGATGTTCGGACCCAAGGTGACGGGTGACCTGCTGCTGTAAGATGCAATTGAAGGGATATCATTTAATTTTATCCATGGTCTTAATCCATCACGTCTCTCTCCTTGTCAAACAAGCCAGTTATCAGCCATTTCCTAATGAAGTACCAGCAGAGCTCCCTTCTGCTTGCTAACAAATGCTGTCCGTGAAAGTGTGGTATTCTGATCCCAGGAGGCGCTTAACCATGGATACTCTGCCATAGTGGCAAGGATTCCGTAAAATGAACATCTAGCAAGTTGCAACATATACCAAGGACACCTTCAGGCTGGGATGTTTTGTGATTTCTTGCTTTGCTAATTGGAAAAGACAGTTAATTGATCATGGAGATGCGGTTACAATACAAATAGGCCTTTGTGTCACCTCGGACAGTTATCGTTCACTGTTTATTTTTTTCAATTTTTTAGCTGATAAAGGACTGTGAGCATGCACTCAGATAAGTGAGTGCTTACTTACAAAGAAACCTTGAAAATGAAATTTTTTTAGAAAAAACCTGTTTTAATATTCAGAAACATATGTTTGATTCAGTTACATGAAGCTATTCTAGTGTGGTCCATGATGTCACGATGTAGAAAAGTTAGAGATGAGGGAGTAAGAAGAGAAGGGAAGAGCGTAAAGGGGTGGTGGATAGGAGACACGTGGGAGAGGAGACACTACACGGGGGGGTAAAAGACACACGAAGGTGGAGGACACACATTAGAGGGGTTTGAGACATAAGGAGGGGTGAAAGACACAAAAAATTGGTTAGGAGACAAAAGAGGGGGAATAAGAGAAAGAAGAGGGGGTAAGAGGCAAAAATGGGGCTTAAGAGATGCAAAAGGGGTATAAAAAGCACAAGGGGCATAAGAGATCATTCAGGATTTTATCTATTTTCTGTCTAATTTGCTAATATGTTATAGGTATGTTCTGGCAGTTAAGAGGTTAATGATAGAAGTGTGATGACAGGTCATCAAAATGTTACTGTAAAGCTACCAATGCTTCATTGTTTATTCAAAATAGCTTCAAAATCCTTTGAAATCGCTGCACTCAATCATGGCTGGATTAGTAATAGAGAGAGAATAAGCTGACACATTATAAGTAACATTTGTAAAGTCCTTACATCTTCTGTGGTGTTGCACAGACTGACTACAGTGGGATCATCTGTTCCTGAGAGTGTTCACCTGCCAGGTATAAGGCAGATAGGATCACTAAGCATTGATGTTCAGCAATCTCTGCGGGATCATGGATAGAGTGAAGTGTATGAAGTGTTAACACTTCCGCCACTAAACAGACTTTTAACCCGAAGAATATTAAATCACAAATGTTTTGCAGCTATGATATATCCCAGCTTTTACTTTAAGTTTCATGCTGAAATCATGTATTTGTTTTCACATTAAACCTTCAAGGCAATTGTAATTATTCTTCCAAACTGCTTTTTCCTTCATTGATGTATGCAAACTGCTCATATTTTTGAAGTTTTTAAAAAATTAGGCTCAAGGGAGCAGCCATTTTACCCATCTAGTTATAATGCTCTAATGTGTATAGAAATCCAGAATAGAATTATAAAAGACTATGTCATACTTCATCCTGCATTTCTGCAGACACCCTTAACAATGGAACAGTGTTTTAAAGAAACACTCAAATCACCATAACCACAATTTCCAACTTTAGTGGTTGTGGTGCTAGAATTGCCTTTGCATCCCCTTCAGAACTTCAAACTCTTGACAACTTGACAAGTTACATTAAGGGGTGCCATAACACTCCAGGCACTATAAACCCCCTATAGTTACTGTAGTGGTTATGTTGTTTGGAATGTTTCTTTAAACACAGATTTTTAACTATACTTTTTAGTAATTGGCTATATGCTCCCAAAAAGACATGGCACTGATGCCAATTTTGCATCTATAAGCCCCACCCCTTTTTTATTAAGACACACACTCACTGACAGTCACACACTCTCAGTGACAAAAACAAACACTGACGATTTGACACACTGACAGACGCACACACTGACACGCATTATCAATGACAGACACTCAATCTCACTGATGTGAAACACACTCACTGACAAAAACTCACACTGACAGACACAAACGCACTCTCTCTGACAGACACCTTGACACACACTATCAATGACAGACACACAATCTCAGTGATTTGAAAAACACACACTGACAGACACGAACTTACTGAATAAGTGCTGTGCCTGCTTCTGGGGCACCCTACGATAGCCAGCCAGTCACCTCCTGGTCCCCCTGTGACAGGCCATTGACCTGGTTCTCACAGCATCCCCCACCTACTGGCGCCTGGACACTGATGCCCTTATCCTACCAGCAGAGGAACAGGCACTCAGCACAAAATCAATAGAAGCAGGGATCTATTATACCAAGCAAGACCCAAGGTGCAGACTGTGCAAAGAGGTCCCTGAGACATTACAGCACATAGTAGCTGGGTGCAAGATGTTAGCAGAAACAAAGGCACAACCAAGTTGCTTGGATTGTGTACCAAAACATCTGTACAGAATATGGGCTGGACCTGCCTAAGTCCAGATTGGAGATACCACAAAGCATAGTTGAGAATTACAGGGCTAAGATTCTGTGGGACTTTCAGATCCAGACAGACAAGCAAGTTCTGGCCATCCAACCTAAAATCGTGGTGGTAGACAAGGAACAGAAGACTGCAGTGGTGTTGGATGTGGCACTACCCGGTGACTAGAACATCAGGAAGAAGGAACATGAGAAGATGGACAAATACCAAGGACTTAAGAAGCACTAGAAAGGATGTTGAACATGAATGCATTAGTAGTCCCAGCTGAGGTAGGAGCACTTGGGGCTGTGACTTCCCAGTTGGGGGAATGTCTTTAACAGATTCCATGTCTGACATCTGAGATCACTGTCCAGAAGAGTGCAATTCTAGGAACACCTAGGATACTGCACAGAACACTCAGACTCCCAGGCCTCTGGTAGAAGACCCAAGAATGATAAATAAATAGTTATGCCAGATATATATATATATATATCTATATATATATATATAGATATATATATATATATTTGTGACAGACTCCCCTGTTCAAGTAAGTTTGGCTGGAGGAGCCTGCTTGCCAGCCTCCTGCCCACAGACTATGGACCCTGTAAAATGGAATATAAAAGTCTCAGTTCGTGTATTCGGACTATTTAGTTCGGGAACCAAACAGCCGCACGAACCAGAGACCACCCTGGAGCTTGTTAAGCCTAGTTGATACTTTGTAACAATTTCCACTGCATGATTCTAACTGTTTTTCTGGGTGGCTGCATTTCCTATGGATGACCACGAGGTCATGGCCATCTTGTTCGCATGAACACAGGTAGCGGTGTTTGGTTGTCGCGTTCATGGAACTATTTTCGGACAACGAAACTCCTGAACACCGCTGGACTTCCATGATCGCCTGTGTTCGGTCCTACAACACTTAGAAAGACACTGTTCGGTGGAAACATTCCCAAGAACAAGGGAAACAAGCTCCAGGGTAAGAACACTGACTATGTTCGGTAGTTTGTTCGATTTTTAAACTGCCGAACTAGACCGATAACAAGCCCTGACTCTCTGGGACCATGCGTGCGGTCAGTCAAATTATGACTTTCAGGAAATTCCTAAACCCCTGAACCGATCTGGTGATTTTTGGATATGTTGGTCACCCAGATAGGGGCTATCA